CCATGCTAACAGCAGAAATAACACTACATTGTCTAAGGAGTCTTCTCCCCCTCACCAGAACAGAACAAGGTGTCTTCCCTTAAAGGCAGGTGCCCCAGTAAAGGTGATAGCTGAGGAGCTGACCATCTGGCAGCATACTTACACTGGGGTACTCGCTCTTCACAGGGAGCTTATTCAGGTAGCTGTAGGAATGGCCCTTCTGAATGGGGCACTGGATCCCGGACTTGCATCCATCGGGCTCAGGAATAGGAAAGGGTATGTCCACGTGCAGCATCTCACCATACACCCTTGCTTTGCTGCCCTGGCTCTCGATCTCTGCAAAACACAAAGAATATGTCCATACCTCACACCCTCCTCTCCACATACCCCAGAGGCTGGAAGAACACAACTAAGCGACACTCTTCCTCCCACCCAGACCACTCTCCAGCCACCCTTCCCCAGTCCCCTCCAAGCAGGGGAACACGGAGGGGATCACTTCCCTCTCCCCACCCCTGCCGGGGACGCGATCCTTACTGCTGGCGAAGGTGACGTTGATGCTGTAGGATGTCCCCTTATGGAGCAGGCAAGGCTGAGTGGGGCAAGGGCTCACGTTCACCTCCTGGATGCTGCCGTCTACGGAACCTGCACGGAAAAATCGGGATTACCGGGCCGTCTCCGCCTGCTACTACGCCCCGCCGCCGCCTCCCGCTGCGCCGAGGCCGAGCGGGGCCGGAGGCACTCACCGCAGTCGATGAAGCGGAGGGGCTCGGCCAGGGCAGTGGCGGCGGCGCCCAGCGCCAGGAGCAGGGCGAGCGGGGACGGCACCATGGCGAGGGCGGCGGCAACAACTGCGGGCCCGGCACGGCGGCGGCTCCGCGCAGTCACATGAGCGCGGCGGCCCCGCCCGCCGGTCAGCGGGGCCGGCTCCGCCCGCCGGGCCGGGCCGGGCCCACCACGCGATCCCGGGGGTGCCCTGGGGCTGGGCCGGCCGCCCCCGGCGCCGGGGTGAGGGCAAGGTCGCACCGGGGAAAAGGGGGGCGGGAACAGCGCCGCGACGGGACAGCGGGAGGGAGGGGGTAGTGGGGGTGTGGTGTGCTGGAACAACAGCCCTTGGACAGACTGACACCCTCCAACAGCGCTACTACTGGACATCCCCACTCCTGGGCTATCCTGGTGGAGTCAATGCCCAGGGCAGCAGCCGGAGGATAGGCACACGTACAGGCAGTGCGATGGGCCGGGAAGCTCTTTTGCTGAAAGGGGAGAAACATCCCACGAAGGTGCTGTAGTAGACCAGCCCGTAGGCTTGTCCATCGTTTACTTCGTATCTCGTGTTCTGCATGTTGAAAGTTGTCCGTGTAACCTGAGTGCCAAAAGTTACATCTCCCGAGTACCTGGCGTGGCTGCCGCCTTTCACAGAGCACACACACTGCGAGTCTTGTTTCTCAAACTCGTGAAATGCCATAGACTCCCTGCTTTGGGCTGTAGATGCCAGGACAAACCAGAGGATGAGGAAGATGCTTCAGAAAGCATTTTCACCAATTTCACGTGGTAGCAAGTTTTAGCCTTTCTGGGGTCATGTCAGGAACACAGCAGAGAGAAAGGCACATGAGTGCTGATTTGGTAGGAACGTGGCAGAGCTGACACAGCGTCCCCACTTCAGACCTCTGTCCCAATGAGCTGTCTGCCTGCTCAGCTGCAGCTGCACAACCAAGTGACTCAGAGGTGACTCCCCACGCTTTGCTCAGGCTCTCTGCAAAGGGTGTCACATCAGAAACCCAAGAGGTGTTAGCAGGATCAGGCAGGACCTGCTCTCATGCTTATCTGCTGAGCAGTTTAGCTCTTCAAAAGAAGAGGGATCTCTTCCTTCAGAAAGGAACATGGGGCTTTTTAATGTTTGGGGGTTTTTTTAAGATTTTGAACAAGCATTCGGTTAGCAGAGGAAAGCAGACCAGCGTGCTTACACCAACCCTATCAAAAAAACTCAAAAGACCCTGCTGAGACTAAGCTCACCTCATAAATAACCCATCCTTGCACATCAGAAATCATTCCCTTTGAAAGGCTTTCCTTCTCCCCATCCTTCCAGTCTTACAAATGGTAAACAAAGCCAGCTTATCTGACTGCTGGGAACAGAACCGCAGTCAGGTCAAACCAACACCATAAAGTGCCGTTACACATTCATGGGATAAGCAGGAGTCGGAATTTGCTTGGGTGTGAATTCCACAGTGCATTAAATCAGGATGCCTTCCTGTGAAACAACTCACCAGATATCTTTGCTTCACAGATGCTTTTGCACAGTGGCAGTGACACATACAAACTGGACCTAATAAGTGTAAGTTTTTAAAACTACAGCCAAGGCCTTTATACAAGAAAGACGCAGAAACCTTCTGCCCAAGGTTTTTAGCTGTTATCACACATTACTATTGTGTCAGTTATGCAATAACAGCACTTTAAGCTTAGATTCCCCAGGGCAGCATAAGCACTTTAGGCCAAACAGACCTTGCTTTTAGGTACATGACCGTTTTGACATCTGATAAAAGGCATGGGCCTCCAGGTCCCCTTGAAACCCAACACTGTACCAAAATACTTGAGAAAGATTCAATTCAACTTTAGGCTGGTCTCATTATTTTGCAGATGGGGTTCCTTCCAGATTACCAACATCACAGGGAGCTTATGCTAAGGTGGCTAAGAAAACTAACAGACTAATTCTTTCCAACAAGACTGATACTTGAGTTCTTCATTTCTGTAATCCAACCAACTGTATTACATGGGGAAAAGCCTAAGGTTCCACTTCAGAAGCTAGCTACACCTGATTAATCCAAACCCCTCTGACAGCATTGTGCTTGCAGGGACTACAGTGGCAGTGAATACAGAAATCAGGTTTTCAAGAAAATCCACATACAGAGACTAATCAATTTTTGCTGTTCTTTCAGCCAGAACAGTCTCCTTTTGCTACAGATTGTCAGAATCACATTGAAATGCATCACATCCACTCTCAACACCACACCAGAGGTTTTATTATCACCAGTTTCTGAAGCACTGAAACAAGCTCAGTTTCTCACCAAAATAGATACAAGATGATTTAAGTATCAGAGGAGAAAAGGGCAAAATATCTAGAGAATTCAGCTCACAGACAAATCTCCTCAATACAGTGTGCTTAATGATAGCTAAAGGAACTCCCTAAACCCACACACCACAGACCAGAATAAGAAGATGGAAGCAAAACACAACCAAACTTAAAACTTAAAACCAGATTATGTCCAGCTATCAGGAACAAGATGACCAACAAAAGCATAGCCCAGGAAAGAAGAAAAACTGAACTGTAACTCTGTGAAAAAAAAACCAACCCATAGCTGTACCACATAGCTGACAGAAGGAAAAAATGGCCCGTGATAAGAAAGAGGTACAAAGGAGTAGATGTTCTTAGTTACACCCACCTCTCCTAGCTGCTCAAAAAAATTTGCCCCCAGCACCTGAGTCACTCCTCAGCATAGTAGATCATTAATTATATTAAGTAAACTCTGAGTGAGGCTAGCTGGCCTTTCTCTCGTTCCTTCAGTCTGCAGTAGCCATCTCAGCAACATCCCAAAATGCCTTGAAGGTACTTGCCACACTTCTGCCTCTTAACACTGGTAAAAATGAAGGCAGCTAGAACGTTAGTGTGTCTGGTTTTTGGGGCTACATCCATTCCAAAAGGTGTTCACAGTGAATAGAGCCACACCCTGGGGAAGTGCAGTGGGATCAGTCTAATACACCATGCAGGAGCAAGAAGGGAAACCAGTGCATTATGGAAAGCAGGCATGATCCCTTGCCTTTTCTCCCAGGAGGTTTTGATTCTCTCCTCCAAAGCTGTCTGCTTTTGGGACACCATATTGATAATAACCAAGAAACACCCCAATATGTTTTTTTTAAAACACTCAGTGGTCCAATATACCTGATGAGGATTCATCAACCATTGCAGGTACCTGCCCCGCTGGGAGTCTACCTCTGATACTTTCCTGGCTTTATCCTAATATCATTAGAGCTAACACAAGACCAAGCAAAATTAAACAGCTCAAACCAGTCTTTAATTTACATGCTCAGGGTGGAACAAATAAGCAAAGGCACGTGGTTACGAAAGCATTGCCTTTCTTGGAGCAGGACGGTGAGAAAGCAAACTGTCACAGGGTCCTAAAGTCCCCTGATGGCAAATCACCTCCTCTTGCTGGGATGACTGGTTTTCCTCCACGAGTCTTCCACAGAGTCACCGTGTGACTCTCCACAGGCCTGGCTGGGGCTGAGGAACAGGATTCCTCCCCCAGAAGCACAGGAGGAAGCAATAAAGACTCTTAACCGCAGGTGCATCTGTATCACTGTCACATGGCAGACATCAGGAGGAGGTTAAACCACCGTGGGAGGGAAACCTGTCCCGGGTGGCCGTAGGGGAGGCCACGGGGCAGGCTCGGGGTGGGGGTCTCCTTCCCCTCTTCCTGCGGTGGGAGGAAAGGGACGGTGTGGGTCTGAGGCTGAGCACACGTCTGCAGCAGCGGGGCAAAGAGCCTGCCCGAAGGAAGAATGGCCTCCACAGGGATTTCTAAGCTGAGCTCCTATCTGATAAAGGAGAGCAAACCGGTCTTGATCAAGGAAAAACCCTAAAAGCCCTGAGCCCTGGCCCCGTGTTTGCTCTTCTGCTTGCCTAACTCCCCTGCGGCGGCACCTTGATCACCCTCTGGGTTCTGCTCAGGATAAACGACCTCACAGCTAATCCCGGCGCAAGCACGCGCTGACGGGCAGCACTGCGCTGTTTATTGCTCCCCGCTGTTTTATTGCTGTTTGCTCCCCTCCGCGAGCATTGCTGCGAGCACCTCCAAGAACGAAAGGCGGCTTCGTGCCTTTGAGCGAAGCCGTAGCGGATTTGCGGGCCCAGCGGCCGAGCTGTGCCGCCGCCGCAGCAGCGCCGCCACCGCGCTCCCCCAGCGCCCGGTGTCCTCACGGTGTCCGCCCGGTGTGGGCGCGGCCGTGGCCGCTCCCCGCCCGCCGCGGCGGCACTTCCGCCTCTGCGGCGCCATGGCGGGGGGGCGGGGCTGGGCCGCGATGGCGGCGCCGGGGGCGCTGCGGCGGTGGTGGGCGCTGGTGTTGGGCGGCCGGACGAGGTACAGCTCCCTTGGGTACCCGAGCCCTTGGGTCCTCCCCCGGGGACCCCGAATGTCCCCGCTGCGCGGGAGGGGGCGGCATCGGCGGGGGCCGGGCGGCTTGGCGGGGACCCCGCTGAGGCTCCCCCTCTCCTCCCTTCTCCCCGAGGCAGCTGGGGCCCCGCTCCGCTGTGCCGAGGACGAGCGCTGCCGAGACCCTCGCCTGTGCCTGCCCGGGCTGTCCGCCCGTTGCGGTGGGAGTCGTCCTTCTCCCAGCCGGGCCCCACGGAGAGCGAGCCCAGCGAAGGACAGGTCTTCCTCAGCGAGAGCTGCGTGAAGGTGGGGACCCCAGGAGGGCTCGAGTGCCCCTGGGAGGGATTTCCGAAGTGCTCGGCCTGCCGTGGGCGCACAGGGGAGGCGTTTGAGTGTTCATCAGTTTGTTCAGCAGGCCTTTTAGTCCTTTTACTTGTTTGCAGAGGCTGCTGGAGATTGCAGAAGGCTCGGAGTTTCTCAGGCTGCAGGTGGAAGGAGGTGGCTGCTCTGGCTTCCAGTACAAGTTTTCCTTGGACACAGTTATCAATCCTGATGACAGGCAAGGACAAAGGGGTGTAGTGGTGGTCAGATATTACTGTTCTTTGCAAAAATGGCAGTGGAGGTATGTGTGACATTATAGTATCTTGCATTGAAGGGCAGAAGCCTATGAGATACGGAGAGAGTTCAGGCTGTGCTTCTCAGGAAGGTTTTTGGCACAGTTAATGATTAAATATGCTGCTTTTTTGTAGGGTGTTTGAACAAGGTGGTGCCCGTGTGGTTGTGGATGTGGACAGCCTGGCCTTTGTGAAAGGTTCCATGGTGGACTTCAGCCAGGAGCTGATCCGAAGCTCCTTCCAGGTGGTGAGCAACCCCCAGGCAGAGAAAGGTTGCTCGTGTGGGACTTCTTTCTCTGTCAAATTCTGACTGGACTTCCCATGGATGGACACTGTTTTCAGACACTTCCTGGCAGTCTTCAGTGGGTTTTTTCTTTTCCCAGCTGCTCCCTCTCATCTCCCTTACTCTGTGACACTGCTGTTACACATTACTGCAGCTGTGTGTGTGCTTGCACTGAGCCTGTCTCCAAGACTTGTTGGCCTTCCCTTCAGAAACATGGAGTAACCATGAGCACACACACAGGAGCATCTTCAGCACCTTGTGAACCAGTGCCAGGTGGTGCTGACTTGCCTGCCCTGTCCTGAATGTGGAACTACTTAACTGTTTCTCTCTGCAAGAGAGGGCTATATATACATATATACATGTGTATGTGCAGATGTGTTTATTGAAAATCCTTAGTAAAAAAAGTCTCTGAGACTGACTGGTGTTGCTCGTGCATTTACAGGTGGGTAGAACCTGAGTTCTCTTCAGGCTGCTGTTGCTTATCTCTTGTCCACCTGAATGGGACTTGGAGTCTTTCTCACGTATACCTCCCAGAATTGCTGGCTCTCCACTCACAGTGGGCTTTTCCAAATACTTTGCTGTTTTCTTGTTGAGCAGACTTCTCTTGGTCCCAAGAGCCTCCGGTGGTTTTGCTGTGAGTTCGTGGGATGAAGATTTTTACTTATTCAGAGTAAGTGAAACTGAAAAATTGAGGTAGAAAGAATTAATAACTTTTTTTTAATTACAAAAAAAAAGAAAAAAAAACACCAAAAAAACCACCAGCAACCAAAAAACCCCAAATACTTTTATATATACAAAAGTAAAACACATATCTCTATATGGCCCGGTGCTATTTCAGGCTGTTCCTAAACCCGACTTTGTTCCTAAACCCGACTTTGTTCCTAAACCTTGACTTAGGTCATACAGACTCTCAGGTTTCACAGTGTGTTTGCTGCCTTCTCTTGCCAGCAGGAAGGGAAGTTTAGGTGACAGAGTTGGATCTGGAGTACTGCTTAGGGGTCCTCAAGTCCTCTTGACCTAAAGTTGTCTGGGAAGTTTTTCCGTAGCTTGTTTTACCCTTCAGTCACAGTCTAACATGCCTGGTTTGATGAAAAACTGGAATAGCTCCTTTCTTTTCTAAACCTCTCAGGTAATGAGGAATCTAGAAGTTTCCAGAATAACATCCTTTTGATTTTCTATAGTTTTTTATCTGCCACTAGATGTCTTTTAAGTCAAAGTGATTCACCTGCTTCTGGATGAAAGGAGAGGTGGGGAAGCTATTTTTGTTCCCTCTCTTGTGTTTTATATGATCATAACCAAATTATCTAAGACTCGAGTCTTTCACGTGAATGTGGGAGCACTACATGACTTTGGTCTCAAGGGAACTGCTTATGGCAAACCATGAGGTTTTTAAGTCTCCATGCCACAGGCATTTTTGTTGTTAAGCTTTCCAAATGCCTTTCTAAACTAATCAGCAGTGCTTTTGTAGAGCACTGTTTTGCCTATTTATTTCTACTGCTCAGAGCTGCTAGCCAGCTAGTTTCAGTTTCATCCGTAGATGTTACAGGAGGTCATATGTGATCAGCTCTGACTTTGTCACATGGACAGGATGGGGACCAGCAGCTCTTTCAGTTTAGCCCTTTTGATTTCCTGCAGTCAACATCTGCCTGGTTACCTTGCTATTGGAGAGAGCTGAATGTAGCACTGTCACATTTTCTGAAAGAGAGTAAAAGGATGTGGTTAAAAGACTTGCCGAAACCCCTGCAGGGTGTTTGACACTGCCCTTGTGCTCCCAGGTCTTGAAGGTGATGTTAATCAAAACTGCATTTGAAAAGTATAAGACTTTAAAGCTTGTGTAGGTAGCACACATTAGATAAACTCAATTTCTTTCAGCTAGGAAAAAGTTGGCCAGAGGAATTGCTTTCTGAACCAGGAAGATCCATTCTTGATCCATTTCACACAGACCTCGGTCAAGTCTCTTTTGGGACCTCTTATGGGAAATAAAAATGCAGCAATAGTGCTGGGGAGGTAGCAAACCAGCAGCTACCAGGGCTTTTTTTCCCCTAGACTAAAGCCAGTCTTTGGCCTCTGTAAGTCTGCAGGCTTCATCTTGGATTGCTGTTCTTCCTAAATGTAAATGTGCTGTGTTTGTTCAACCTAGCCAGGTGCCACCTGCCTTCATTTACTCTACACTGATGCAGTAAACGGAGCAAGTGCTGTCCATGGGGAGTGTGACCACTTTCAGAGAACCTGCCTCTCCCTCACAAGCACTGTGCAGAGGATGAGGCTTTGGTCCCCACCAGTGTCACTTGCAGTGTTGCTGTAAAGCCTCACACATGTGGCTCGTGTTGCCTGCAGCTCTGGCAGTACTGCTCTGACTGCACTAGGTGGACCCCTTACTCCTTGGGAGTTGCTGCACTGGACATTCACAGGCATTTTGACCTCTTTCGAGGGTTCAGGTTGGATCTGCTCCATGCAGGACCTAAGCAGAAGCAAAAGTTTCTTTACAGCTCTCTTTTGGAGGCAGGCTGGAGCCAAGTTCATCTGGTATTGCAGCAGCCTTGTCACTACATCAGAGAAATTGCTAGAAGCTAGAGAGGTTCTAGCTGTACATTACATTGCTCTTGGCCTCCTAGTCCTGCTTCCTGGGAGTAGCTGTAATCTGTTGGCCAAAGCTACTAGTTTTCCAGTTCACAGTAGGGAATGGGTGCAGAGGGCTGGCTGTCACCCTGAGACTTGGTCTGACTTTACAAAATCTGTCAGTACACCAGAAATCAAAAACTTCTGTCAATGCTAGGAAGTCAGCAAAAGGGGTCTTGTTGCCAGGGAGGGGTGAAGGTGATCTTGGTGAATTTTGGCTGTGGAGACAAAAAAGGCTAGATCCTGGTTCCTACAAAAAGCCCTAACCTGTCAAGATTTGTACACTGAATAGCTGTAGGTGCCAAAGATGACACTACACTGTATGCTATGGGGCAAGCGGTGCCAAGAGAAGGACACACAGGATTAGGCAGGGAATTTGGTTCTGCCTGGACCATGAGGGCCTGCCAAGGCGTGCCTGTGAGGGAATAGGTGGGAGCCCTTTTACTGAACCACTGAGAAAAAGCTGGAGGAGCTGGAGGTGCCGCCTTCGCTTCATGGCAAATGAGAAGCTGCAGTGGAAAATCTTTCTCTGCTCCCACATAAAGAAGGAGGATTCTCTCGGTTCACCCACCTGACAAGGAATGAATGATCAAGAAAGATATTTATGGAAGCCTATGCTGAGATGAAACTTCAAGGGAAAAGGGCACAATCATCAGTGTCACTGACAGGAAGGTAGAAGAAGATGGAATAGAAATTCTCCCTTTGGTGAGAGCTTGTGGGAGCTCTGCAGGGACTTGTCAGGAGATGACCAGCACATTCTGTGAGCCTGTGAGAACTGGCTCAGTTCTTCAAATCAGGTATCTAACATTACCTGTTAACTGTGGGTCCCTCTTCAAGGCTTCAAGACAGGCAATGGCTAATAGCAGATTTTTGTCATGTACTTTTTTTGTGTGGTTTAGAGATGTGTATCAGAGTGCTGTGCTTGTGTTGGAGGGCTCCTGTGTGGTATCATTTTCTACAAATAGCGTTTTGAGGTGAGTGGCTACAACAAGACCAATGACCAACCTAGAGCAGATGTTAGGGAAAGAACCTCCTCATCCACAAATTTTTATCTGCAAAATTTCACTAAACTCAGACCTTTCCCTTGTGAAATTGTATATCTGTACAGAGCAGAGTGGTTGGGTGAGTCAGGAAGATAACTAGGGTTGAGGAGCCAGTACCCCCTGGATGACACCCACTGGAGCTTCTGCTTCTCCCACGCAGTACTGTAATTTCCTGCCACCTTAATGGCTTGCATGAATCCAGCACGCAGGGTAGGAGTCAGTGAACGGTGGAGGAGGCAATAACAGGAAGGTGGAAGTGCATGACAGAAGGCTTCTGCTGTCTGTCCCATGCTGTGAAGGCACACACTTTGTATCGAGACTGTTTTCAGCCTTACAAACACTTCAAACATCTGTTGGCAGCTGAAAGTAAAAAACCAGAGTGGTATAAACCCCACTGTTCACACTGTAAGCTGGGACTGGTCAGTGGAGTTTATTGAATTGCAGAACTGAATATCCTGAGTTGGAAGGGACCCACAAGTATTATTGAGTTCAAAAATTATGCCATGTGCCTGAGAGCATTGTCCAAATGCTTCCTGAACTCTGTCTCATCTGGTGCTGTGACCTCTTCTCTGGGGAGCCTGTTCCAGAGTTCAACTGCCCTCTGGGTGAGGAACCTTATCCTAATATCTGACCTAAACCTCCACTGACACAGCTTCATGCCATTCCCTCCAGTCCTATCACTGGAGAGTCACTACAGAGAAGAGATCAGTGCTTGCCCCTCTGCTTCCCCTTGTGAGGAAGTTGTAGACTGTAATGAGGTCTCCCTCAGTCTCCTCCAGGCTGAACAAGCCAAATGACCTCAGCTGCTCCTCATACGGCTTCCCCTCTAGGTCCTTCAACTGTCTTTGTAGCCTCCTTTGGACAGCTTTATATCCTTCTTATATTATGGCACCCCAAACTGCACACAGTACTCAAGGTGAGGCCACACCAGTGCAGATCAGAGCGGGACAATCCCCTCGAATGGCTGGCGATGCTTTGCCTGATGCCCCCCAGGACACAGTTGGCCCTCCTGGCTACCAGGGCACTGCTGACTCATGTTCAATTTGCTGTCAATGAGGACCCCAACAGGGCTACTCTTGGGAGTTCAGAGAAAAATTTAGAGCAAGTGTACTGTTTTTCCCAATGAGCTGCTACAACACATGCTTAAGGACCGAATCAAGCATTGTCTCCACTAGCAAACACCACCATCAGGTTCATTAGCAGAGGGTGTGATAGGAAGTGCACCATTTAGGTGCTTAATTTTCATTGCCTGTTTTCATGCAGACCAACCAAAGCTCTCACCAAGTGTTTACCACGCTTCTCTGGAATGGGCCATAGCTGCCAGAGAAACTGGCAGCAGAGAAAGAGATAACCTTGTGTAATGGTTTGTTTGATAAAACTGTCATCCAGCCTGGATAAAGAACCACAGTTTAAGGACACCAAGCATTGGCAAGAATAAACTGCAGGCACCTGTATTGTATCAAACTCTTCCCCTTGAGAAGTGTTTTATTGCCTTTTTTTTTCCTAAGAGTATGAATACTTGAACCAAATGCCATTAGGGGCTAGGTAGAGGATTAATGGTACAGTTTGGATCCTGCTGGGTTCTGAGGAATATGTTTGCTCTGCATGGTTTCCAGGATTAGGCTGCAACTGGCTTTGATCTGTGCAGATACCTGCCCAGGAAACAGCTCAGTAGATCATGAACTTGGGGTTGGTTTAGTATCCAGCTGTGGACAGAAACTGTCATGAGTCAGCTGAAGCTGTTCATGACAGTGAG